GAAATTTTTCCTAGGGCGGGCGACTTATATCTTACGTTTGCGACTTACAATTCTTTATTTATTATAATTTTAAATCTGTTCAAATATATTTTATCAATTCATTTAATTTTCAAATTTGTTTTAATATTACAAGTACATATAATTATAACCTTAAGATTGTTTGAATAAAATCCATCATATTATGAAATTGAAATTTTAACTTTGAAATATTTTACAGAAATTTCAACATAAAAATGAAAATTATGTTCTCGTAGATGTGTAATGCATATACCAAAAGATAAGACTATCTCACTTTCATCATTTTTTAAACAAAAATAAAAAAAAATTTTATTAAAATCGTGAAAGATGCTAATATTAAATAAAAGAATGTTTATATAAATCTACATAGATATAGAAACTCAAGAAATTATCTAAATGTTCCTCAAATCTACAATGCACAAATACATTCGTATAGTCTTCTATGTTAATGCATATAAACTGATAAACATGTACTTATATTAAAGAATTCTTTATCTTGAATATCTTAAAAGAATTCAGTTCAAGATGAATATTGATAGCTTATTAGTATATACAGGTCCGTTTCTGTTTTGTTCAGCGCCCTGCCCGGTTTTTAAAAAATACGCTTCTCCAGCGTTTCACATTGCAATTTTTGTCTATCATGCAAGATTATTAAAGAATGCATTATTAGTCACAGTCTGAAAATAACATTTCACCTTATCAAGTTAATTCCACGGCAAATAGAAAGACAGAAAGAATTTTTAAAATCACATAGTAGAAAAAGTTTTTTTTTATTATAATTATTTTTTAAAACTTATTTCTTGTGTTTGTGTTGCCTGTGTTTTTCGGCGCTCATTACAAATGCTTACTTTGCATAAATGGTAGATCCGGTGCTGAATACGTAGAATGATTTCAGTTTGGTTTTAATATTATGGATTTTCTATATTTTTATTTAAGTTCAATACCCGCATTACTGCTTTTAAAAACATATGCAATAATATGCAAATTCATTCATTATCTACTTACAATAATGCTAATTTAGAATTATAATGAATATTCCTAATCATTCCTAATCGAAATAATTAAATTTAGAATAAACTTTAAAAACAAGGATTTTTTTTTTATTTTCGATTTTATAAATACATTGCGACCATGTTGAACGCTTTTCGAATGTGGCAAAGATTTGGTTCCACAACTTAATAACGTTATACATAATATATTGTTGTATTTTCATTTATAATTTCGGGAACATCGCTTTTTTTGGCTCAATATTATGGCATTTTATCGTCGGCACTATCAAATTGTGCCCGTTTTTTCTAATTACACAAAATAGGCTACAAAATAATTTTGAGTGTTGTTTATAAATGCACTTAAAATTCTTAATATAATTTGTTTTTTTACCATAAAAAATTATACTTAAAAAATCTTTGTTAAAATTTATATTGTTACATTCATTTTGCCAAATGAAACCTCCCTAAACAGCTTTAATTTGAATATTAAGGATTTGAACTTAAATATTAAAGATTTGCCGTTTATTTTGTACTTGTTATATGAAGCTATCTGCCGGAATAAATGCGAATAACCACTATATTTAACTTCTATGCATTTTACTAATGAGCGACTATATAGACAGGAGTAGATTTAAGAGATCCTTAAATTCGACAAAACAATTATTTTTTCCCATGAATTTCTTAAAACTGTTATACAACTTAAAAAATTTAGAAGTAATTATAACTTGCGCTTCTTTTGAAAAATAATTCAAAATTTACATAAATTAAATATTAAACAAACTAAGAATTTAAATTAAATCAGGATCATGTTGAATGAACCCAGTATGTCCAATTTACTGATTCATCAAATCTAATTTAATATGAAAATTAATCAACTATAATACAAATATCAATTCAATATCAATGCAAATATGTTTAACTTAATATGATGTCCTTTTTTGATATCCTTTTAATACTATTATTATTTATCTAAATAAATTGAAATTTCAATCAAAAAATAATCTAAAAATTTAAAAAAATATTTCAACTTATTTTAAATGCAAGACATTATTTCTCAATATTTTTATATATCTATAAAATTTAGAAAAATATTTTTTGCTGATTTCTTCCTTTTTCATTTCATTTTTTGTCCTTTTTTGTTTTTTTGTTTTTTTTTGTGTATTTTTTAATAATAATTTAAATAAATCGTTATTTTTATGCAAAATTCAAGCAGAGAATACAAATTTCAATAAAATTTCATTAATAATTTTCATTCTATTCCAGAGCAAAATATTTACAATAACAAAAATGTAAGAAGTGTTAAAAATTCAAAGAACCACAAATTTAATATTTGGGATTTAATATTAGAAAAATTTGAAATAATAAAATAAGAAAAATGCTTTTAAGAGTGGATGGATAAGAAATTGAAAGATTATTATTTTTTGTATAATTTTGCATAATTTAAGTGTTATACACAAAGTAGATTTAATATTTACAAATATAATATGTAGATGGGGTTAGTGACCAGGTCCGGTTTTCAATAATTTCTTTTCAGTTTAAGTAAAATGAAGCAGTGAAATGAAGCTGAAATTATTTATTTATTAAATAAAATCGTTTGATAAGCCTCCTAATTTATAGAGGGGAAGATTAGGACTAAAACGAACTAGAACTCTCGATTTAAATCAAATTCTAAAACAACACTTCCCTGCCTTTTTTACGGAATTCAGACACAAAAACACAATACAGCAAAACGTTTAGAAAATTTTATGAGCATCCAAGTTAATGCTCCGACGACAATTTGCGTTCTTTAATTATTAAAAAAAATTGAGTAAAATTAATTTTTTCTTCCGTTAATTAAAAATTATTTATGGCTCTGATTAGCGAAGTATGGAAAATTTTAAATAATTTTCTTAAAAGAGAAACCAATTTCTCTTCAATGTTAATTAATGTAAAAAATTTCAAGATTTCATGCAAAACTTTCAGGCACCTAATTGAATTTAGAAAACATAAGTACCTTATACTTACAAATCAAAACTATTAGGCAAATTAATATAATTAGAAAAAATAATAATTGCATACTTCTAGGGATCTAATACTATAAATTTTTTTTTTGTTGTTTTTTGAATAAATTTTTATTTAAAAACTAATTCAAAAATTAACTTTTATTACAAAATTTTTTTCTAAAATTTTTTGATTGAAAAAATATTGTTGAAAATATTTTCAATAGCTTGCGAAACTATCAATTTCCTGTAACGTCCTTTTTAATAGAAATCTCAATCTATTTAGTACACCGTATAGATATATGTATACAACTATTTTTTATAACGTTATACTTCAATATAGATTGAAAAGTTATTAAAAAAAATTATTTCGAAAAAAAGTCAAAAAAAACCAACAAGCGAGTGCCAAAAAAAAAGTTTTTTTTGCATTTTTTTTCAGTTAAAAACAGCACATAGAATCTCTTATATAACACTCCAATTACAACACAATAAATAAAGATACAATATAGTACATAATAGGAAAGAAGAAACCAACTTTAACAAAAAAAAGAGAAGAACAGGTAGAGTTGACCTCGTCAACTCTGTGGTACGGGTGTGAATTGATAGCCAAATATTCAAGCTGCAACTCTAATCTGCATGTTAAACTTTAAGACTGCAGCGTTAAAAACTTTGTTTCTGGATTAACGAAAGTAATTACCCTATTGTTATATTTGTTTATGTTAAATTTCACCACTACATACCCTTAATATAGTTTACGAAGTACAGTTAAATATATTTTGGGGTTGCATGACAACTAGAAAATAAAAAAACGAATGTTAGTTTTTCAAGTAATTAAAATTACTTTTTCAAAGTTATTGGCCTAGCAAGCACGTGTATGAGTTTAAGCAAAATTCCGAAATACGATAACAAACCACTTTTGAAATTGTATCGCTTTTACCATAAAGCTTTATAAAATCTCAATTCTTTCTTAATTAAGTACAATAGTCTTTTTACTATGCAGGGTTTTTCGCATAAGGTTGCAGATAATTTCACGGATGATTCTTTGATCAATTTCCTGCAAAAAGAAAACCTTTTGGTAAGGGGTGCAGACATACTTGTTTTCGAGCTACAACCTGTCGAAAAAAATTGGCCCAAGATCTTCGTCTAAATAAGTGCTAAAAACTTCACTGAAATGAGAGGTAAAGACCCTCCCATACAATATTTTCTTCAGTCTCTCATAGTTTTGTCTCTTACAGCAAATAATTTTTAATATACAACGGAAAGACTTTTTCGCTTTGTGAAAATTTGTTAAGCTCAGTTCAATTATATTTTTGAGCTATTGCTTGCACAGACTAACGAATATGCAAGCAGTCATGATTAAACCAGGATTCAATGCTGACCTAGAATATACGTACGCTTAATATATCTCGGACCGTTATTATTTTCTTAGTGTTACAAACATAGCGACAAATTTATCATAACTTATGAATGCATTCATACAGGGTTATAAAAAGAAATAAATAAAATTTCCATGTTTGCAAAATTCATTAAAAACAGAAAAAAAAAATTGAAATTCTACTAAAATTAATTAATTTCAATTTCCTTTTTGAAAACAATTTTTTTACTTATAGTCTAGTTTCGATTTTAAAACTCATTGAATTCACAAAAAAAAACCAAAAAAATTATTAAAACAAAAATGGATAAATTTTAAACTATGAAACAGTTTTATTCATTTAAAAAGAGAAAAAAAATGGCACACACTCAAATAAACAGAAAAATAAAAAGGGAAAAGGTTAACGGTATTCTATAATAAATTGTCAAATCAATTTCGTTTTTCGTTCACCTATACATACACACACATACATACAATAATAAATCTTTTTGAATTTTTTTTTAAATTTCAAAACAGATGGCATCAAATCAAACGACAACTACAACATCACAGAATCCATCAACAATTCAACCATTACAATCATCAAATAGTGATGGTCATCAAACAAATATAAATAATGATAATGGTGGAAATGATAATAGTGGAACTGATAATATTATTCCAGGTGGTGGTGGTAGTAATGGTGGTAATGGCACTACTAATATTAGTAATGTTACACATAGTTCATCAACTGAACAAACTGCAATACGTATTGTACAACCAAAAAATTATGGTACTGTAACACCATTAAAAGGATCATTAGAAGAATATGGTCAATTAGGAAATAATGAAAAACTTACATATATTTGGCATAATTTAGATATATTTGGTGCTGTACATCATCAAAATGGTTCAACAGCTATTGGACGATTAATTAATCGTACAAAAAATTTTTTATGCTCTGAAAGGCATATACCAGCACCAAGAAAACATTTGTTAAAAAATGGTAAGTAAAAAACAAAAAGAATTTTTTTTTGATTAAAATAAATAAGGAATCTCACCAAATTGCTCTTTCTCACAAAATAAACTAGTTTGGGCAACCCCTAACGTCAGAATTTTTAATAACTTTCAATTTAATTTTAAGTACATAAAAATCATGTAATCCTATAAATAAAAATCATATTTCTAAAGTCGTTAAAGCGACAACGAACATTAGTTCCAAAATTCCTAAGAAGGTTCTCGAATCACACAGTATCACACAGTATTTCATACTTCCCCTTAGCGCTAATTAAAGAATTGTTAATAATCCGAATATTTTTTTAGAAAAATATTTTCAAATTTATACAAACAATTTCAAATACGGTTTTTTACAGTTTCAGGTATAGCATATCCCGGTGAATTACTTGCTGTATTAGGTAGTTCTGGAGCTGGAAAAACAACATTATTAAATGCTTTAGCATTTAGATCAGCATCCGGTGTACAATTGGCACCATCAGCAATTAGAATGCTTAATGGATATGCTGTAGATGCAAATGTAATGCAAGCACGTTGTGCATATGTACAACAAGATGATCTTTTTATTGGTTCATTAACAGCAAGAGAACATTTAATATTTCAAGCAATGTTACGTATGCCACGTAATACATCATATAAACGTCGTATTGAACGTGTCGAACAAGTAATACAAGATTTATCATTGGGTAAATGTCAAAATACAATAATTGGTGTACCAGGTCGTATTAAAGGTTTATCAGGTGGTGAACGTAAACGTCTTGCATTTGCATCTGAAGCATTAACTGATCCACCATTATTATTATGTGATGAACCAACATCTGGTTTAGATTCATTTATGGCAAATAGTGTTGTACAAGTATTAAAAGGTTTATCACAAAAAAATAAAACAATAATATTGACAATACATCAGCCATCATCAGAATTATATGAAATGTTTGATAAAATTTTATTGATGGCTGAAGGTCGTGTTGCATTCCTTGGAACACCAGATCAAGCAACACAATTTTTTTCACAGTAAGATTTGATTTTTTTTGTCTTTTCTAAATAAATATTGAATAAATTCAAATATTTTTAATATTTAAAATAAATGAAATATTTCTAGACTAGGAGCACCATGCCCAACAAATTATAATCCAGCTGATTTTTATGTTCAAGTTTTAGCTATAATACCAGGTAAAGACGAAGAATCACGTGACAGAATTGGGAAAATTTGCGATAGTTTTGCCACAAGCAGGTTTGTTTAAAATATTTTATCTTAGCATAATTTAAATTAGTTATGATAGAATGGGTGTTACTATGGTTCTAACACATAAGTGAATTATATTTGACTATAAAGGGTGTTTTGCATAAGTTATTGTTCTTTGATTAATTTTCAGAAAAAAATTGTATTGTTCGGAGGGGGGCTCAAATCAAATTGTAAGAAAAATGAAGAACAATCAATTGCCTATAAAACAAGCTTCCAATGATAACTTTATGTTGTATGGTTCCGAAGTTATAATAATTTATTTATATGCAGAAAAAGTCCGGTAACTTATTTTTTCAACAGGCTGTAGCTCAAAAAAGAGTATAACAGCCCCCGCCCCCCTCCTTTCCGCCTTTCTGTTATATACGCATTGTTTCACCTACATACACATATAAAATTGAATGGTATACAGATAAGATTGCCATATGTGAAAATTTCTCTATAACTCTATAATATCTATTCGTATGGCCATAATTACTTCATATTATTCTCTCTCACAAAGTAACAAGTCCGTTTGATATTATTTTTCGATATTCTTCCGGTATATGAAATTTAACATCAGAAATTCTTTTAAAAACTACGTAATTTAATACATAATGAGAATATATTTTTAATTTTTAATTTTCAAAATTTATTACACAATAAGAATATATTAGATAAATCCTAGTATAACATAAATAATCGTATACATATAAACATATTTTTCATATATAAATAGTATTGCAAAAGAAATGGAAAGAAAATTTCAAAAAGTTCGTGAACATGCAACATCAATGCCTATGGAAGGTGAAGCTTTACGAGGATATCGTGCAACATATTTTATGCAATTCAGAGCTGTATTGTGGCGAGCTTGGTTAACCGTTTTAAAAGAACCATTATTGGTTAGAGTTCGTCTAATTCAGACAACGGTAAGTTTATTTTTGTACTTTTTCTTTTATACTGTATAATTATTTATTTTTATTGTTTTTGTTGCTATTCATAATAGCACAGTATACAATTTGTTATTATATTATAATTATGTACAACACAAGCATACGAGTATTACATAACATTACGTAGATTTTTTAGAGAAAAAAAAATTCCTTATAATGCAAAAATTTCTTTCTGTTTCGGTTCTTTTCTTTCTCTTTTTTGTGTTTTACAATCTAATACAAATATTACATTGCTCATTCGCTACAAAATGTGCAATTTTCGAGTTATGGCAGTGTTGTAGCAAACTAGTGACATACAAATAAAATATGGTTAAATCAGAATAAAATTATGGTAAATCAATTTTTCAAATTTTGTAATAAAACATGATTAAATTTTATAATGCTTGTCTCTGATAAACGTTTTACTGTAGAAATACAAAACATGTATGGACCATTTTGGACCGTTTATTTTGGAGGTGACCCTAAGTTCACTTTTATTACTATTGAAATATTATTGAACTTTTGGGTTTTTTTTTTCTCTTCGGCTGCACACACATACTTTGCAATTACAAGTATTGATTTTATTATTAGTCTGGGACATTAAAAGAGTTCTGGTGATTGCAATAATTGTCATTCAAAGAAATTTTTGCCAAAAGTGATAGAACAAAAGTTTCTTGTCTCATCTAAGCTATGATGAGTCATAAAGTATGAATCCATTATATGGAACCAAACTGGAAATTAGAATTGGGTTAATTAATTAATAAAGTATGTATACCAATATAATACGAATATTAACAAATTGTTGAAAAAATTATGACCTGATTTCGAACATTAAAATATTATTCTAATTTTTGAATGACACAAAAGTGAAGAAAAATTAACTAGACTTAGACAATAATTCATAGCTTGTTGTACTATATCGTAAAATAATTTTTAATTGAAAAGTTTTCTTGTAATAATTGCTGCAATTTACATTGAGCTTTTGCAAATAGCTCTTCTTTATGCTTCTTACAACACTAGACAACCTTTTTCCCATAAAAATAAAATTTATTTGGGAGAAGGTTTAAGAAACACATAGTAATTATTAATGTTATGCTTCAAAGTATACGCTCAACGAATACACTATTAAATAGGCCCAATATCTTATAGTTGACCAGGACCTATACTCATTTTGCAGACCAGGACCTATACTCAACTTAAAAATAAATATTCCTTTTTTGCCAAATTTCCTTTTTCATTTAATTTATATTTCATCATTTTTTCATTTTAAATAGATGGTGGCAATTCTCATAGGATTAATATTTTTAAATCAACAACTTGATCAAGATGGCGTTATGAATATAAATGGAGCAATATTTTTATTTTTAACAAATATGACATTTCAAAATGTTTTCGCAACAATAAATGTAAGTGAAAATTTTTATTGTTTAATTTTAATGTTACGTATATAGAGGAAACAATTGAATGGGTACACGTATACGTTTATATTATGACGTACAGCTGCATATAGTTTTGTATAAAACTATTTCAGTTCGTATAAATTTTTATTAGTTATGAGTAGAACAATGTGGGCATATGCAATGTTAAAATCCAAAATCTTTAACATTAATTTTCTTTGTATGTCCTTTCGTTATGCAATTAATATTGCATTCGTTCCATTTTGCAATAAAACGATAATCTCTAATTTTAAATTAATAAAAATATTTTAAAAAATTTTATTAATTTTAATTAATTATTTTATTTTTTTATTTTGAAGGTTTTTACTGGTGAATTACCTGTATTTATGCGTGAATCAAGAAGTCGTTTATATAGATGTGATACATATTTTTTGGGTAAAACAATAGCTGAATTACCATTATTTTTATTGGTACCATTTGTATTTACATCAATTGCATATCCAATGATTAATTTACGTGCTGGTATTATACATTATTTAATTGCATTAGGATTAGTAACATTAGTTGCAAATGTTTCAACATCATTTGGTTATTTAATATCATGTGCTAGTACATCAACATCAATGGCATTATCAATTGGTTCACCAGTTATAATACCATTTTTATTATTTGGTGGCTTTTTTTTAAATTCTGGTTCAGTACCAATATATTTTAAATGGTTATCATATTTATCATGGTTTAAATATGGTAATGAAGGTCTTTTAATTAATCAATGGGAAGATGTACAACCAGGTGAAATAGCATGTACAAGATCAAATGCAACATGTCCAGCATCTGGTCATGCAATATTAGAAACATTAAATTTTAATGAAAATAATTTAATATGGGATTTTATTGGTTTAAGTGTATTAATAATAAGTTTTCGATTTTTTGCATATTTTTCATTAGTTATGAAAACAAGAAAAAAAGAATAAAATGGCCGTCATTTTTTTATATATATATTTTTTTTTTCTAAATAATTGTAAGATTTTTATTATTTTAATAGAATAAAAATTTATTAAAATATTTAAATAATTCAGTTTAATATTATTAAGGATAAAATGTTTTTATTTCTAATAATGAAAATGTTTCTAGGACATTTAAAAGGTTTTATATTATGAAAATTAAATAAAATGTTAATCACATAACAAAAGAAAGGTTTTTTTTTTGTTTTCTACAAAATTTGAGTTAGAAAATCTCAAATAAGGGTGAAATATCCTTTCTCTAATGCTTGTATATAAATATGAGACGTTCATTACCACCAATTCAATTTAAAATTAAAGTTTAAGAGATAAACCACACTCTGACTATTTTATACTATGCTAGGAAAAAAGGACGAACCTAATCAAAGAATTAAAAGCTGGTAATTTGATATCATTGGGTCCGACTTTTGAAGGGTTACCAATTCAGATCAAATGTTCTAAATTGGGATCGGAATTTTAAAAGTTGTTTTTTCAATGGCTCTTCGTAATACCGAAAATTGTAATTTTCCGGCATTTGACGACATCAATTTTATAATTTTTCTAAATTTCGCTTAATAATTCTGTTATTACCTTTACATAGCCTAATTATGTATAATATTTTATACAAAATTTTTGATATTCTGTTATACTTACCATTGAATTAAGTGCTTAAAATTTAAAAATAAAATATTTTTATATTTACTGTTTTATTTAACAGAGTTGGAGTTTGTTTTTAGCACTTTTCCAAAAATTTTTTTGAAAAAAGTGCTTATTAGTTTCACTCTGTCCGTCCGTCCGTCCGTCCGTCCGTCCGTCCGTCCGTCCGTCCGTCCGTCCGTCCGTCCGTCCGTCTGTCCGTGTGTCTGTTTACAAAACTTCTACACCCTTGAAGATAGAAAGCTGAAATTTCCTACGTACATAGATCTTTACTAGAAACTTATTTCCGTAGAACAAAATTTTTACCTATCTCCCCCCCTCTAGAAGTTATACCCCTCCAAAACCCTAAAAATGGCCTTTTTTAAATATTTGTTGCAATGAAACCATAAGCATTTTTGAAATTTTGCAAACGCAGAAAGGCAGTGGCTTGCTTCCGCTAGCGCGATATACTATAGTTAGACTTTAGAAAAACAAAATGGCCGTTCAAATTTACCGTTATCTAAGGTCCCTTTTTTCCAAATTTTTGATGTCGTTTTTCTTCTAGACCCCAGACTGTAGAAGCTTGAAATTTTAAGAGCTTTTAGACATTATCAAATAGTTCATTTCGTTAGAAGAAAATTTTTTTCCATCTCCACCCCCTCTCAAGGTATCACCTCTTGAAATTCGTAAAATTTGAATTTTTGACACCTTATATTTCCGAAACCGCAAGCTTTTCCAAATTTTTATAAACGCAAAAAGCTAACGGTAAATTCCATGAAATTAAAAAATATAATTATTTTTCTTAACTCACACAATTAACCCTTAAAATCGAGCATTGTGTTAACCCCTTTTTATATTAATTTTTGCTTTATTTCAAAGACTGCATATATGCGTCATCCTAAATATATGCAATTCTAGAAATAGTTTGGTAGATGAATGAAAATAATTTTAATACTGTGATAGGTATACATAGACTGTATTTAAAAGCAGAATTTTCACTTGTTGAAGGGAAAAGTGCTACAATACAAACCATTGGTTTGACCCAACTTTATTTGATTCGACTAAAAAACTTCATTGTGTTTATAAGTAATTCATAGTTATATGAAGTCTTCTGAATTGCAGTGATAATTTGACATGTTCGTTGACACCCACATCTTGAATGTATAATTCATAAAACATAAAAAGTAAAACTGAACAATTTAATTCAAAAATGAAAACCAATTAAAGTTTTGACCAGAATTTACTAAAATTGTATATAAGTTGATTTTTGCAAGAAATTTTGAACATAAAAGAGATGAACATGCAATTTAATTTTTAACTATTCTATAAAATTATGATTTAACTGTGCTATTTATACTAATATCGCTATATTGCGAAAAATTATCAATGTTTATAAACAATTTATGTTAGCAACACTTTGTTTATTTACAAAAATATAGCGCAGTTTTCGCTATTATATATATTGCGATATTGTGCATTTAACAAAGAGCCCAAAATTATAAAGTTCTAAATAACAATACATCCTTCCTTCAAAAATCATAAAAGGAAAATTTCCTTCATTAATTTCTTAAATCATTTTTAAAAAAGTTTACAACAACTTTCGCTCAAAAATTTAATTTTTTTTTATTGCCAATCCCTTAATACAACCCTGTATATAATTGATTTCAAATTTGTTACTTCTATCTGTTTCTTTGTTGCTATTACTCTTAATCCCATATTTCTATTCTATTATTATTTATTATTTTTTGTCTAGTTTCTTTTACTTTAGAATCATTGTTATTATTGTTATTATTATTATTATTATAGATAGCTAGGTGTTTTATTATTAAAATATGAGTAAAAGGATGAAAGCATATTTGTAGGCGGACAGCCTTACATCATTATTACATCATGTTATCTCCTTTTTATTATATCCTTAAAAGATAAATATTTTTTTTGCTTTTTTTTCTCCTTTTTCTTTTATTATCCTGCTTCTACTATTTTTCGTTATAATATGAATGAAATATCCTGACGCATTCAGGAAGTAGAAATAACGAAAAAAAAAAAAGAAACGTATATGAAACTCATATTCTCATTTATTTTATTATAGAGAAAGAGGGAAAGAAAAAGAAATTGATATCGATGAAAAAGCAAAAAGAAATCTCTGAGAACAATAGCTTAGGGTAAAATTTGAAATTAGGATAAAGAATAGGTAGGTATATGTATATAATATTAAGATATAAATGCCAGTGGCTTACAATTTACACAATACATACATATTATAATCATTCAAGTATATATATCCATATATAATTTTTTTTGAAAAGTTCACGTATAAGCGTATATGTATGTTGTGCTATAGGATCCAAACATGGTGTTTAATTTCAAATAATCATTCATTTCATCTCCATAAATCATATTATCAACAGCTGTACAAGATATTCAAAATTAAAATAAATACTTTAATGAATTTTTAAATTTTTTTTTCTTTAAGACAGGGTTCGTGAGGCAAAAAAACAGGTCTTTTAAGTTTAATTTCCTAAAAAATTGAGTGACTTAATTATTATAAGTGTAGGGCCTTGTCATGATCGGCGAAGTGAATAGTATTTTCATAGAAATATGATTTGTTGGTACTATGATTGGCGAATTCGCCTACAATTTTAGTAAAAGCTTGGCGAATGGAAATAAAATATTTTGATTTAACAAGCTATTTTGAGTAACATTTAGATTTTTCGCTGTGAATTATATGATTCGCTGATCGTCATTTGAAATGTTGCTGATTTCGACAAATTCAATTAATTCGCTTAGGAATTCGACCCATCGATTATAAGAAATCCCATAATCTCCGGTTGTGATTATTTCAGTTACCTATAGATAAAAAGAAAAAAATTTTTTAACAAAAAATTTTATTTAGAACTTCGGTAATAGTTAAAATGGCGAAAATATTTAAAAAATTTCAAAGTCAAATACTTCTCTCATGGAAACGTGAATGTTGTAATCCTAATATCCCGCTATATGGAAAATATAAAATATTTGACTAGGTTTTCCTCAAATCTCGAAATATAATCATTTAGAATAAAACACTTTGTATACTAAAAATAATAATCTACTGTTAGTCTTTTCTTTATCTTTTAAAGAGTGCAAAATAAATAGAGAGAGCATAATATACCTACATAAATACAAAAATATTTTGTATACCCATGTATAACATTTTGTAGGATAAACATTTGGAAACAAGCAATGGGATGAAACAAATTATTTTGGGGAAAAAACAGAGCAACAAGAAAATAATAAATATATTATAGTTACCTACACATTATACAAGTATATATACATATACAACATAATTCGGGCGGAATTATTAAATGATTTTTACCATTGATTTTATTTATTTTTGTTGTTATAGGTACAATTTTTTTAAGCAATACCTTATACATGTGTGTATGTATATTATAGTATGTACATAAAATTTTTCCTCGTTTTTAGGCTAGATGATGAAGCTTTTTTATTATTTACCTATACTATCATTTTGTTATTTTTTATAAATATTCTTTTAAAAGAATTGAATATTTATTATGATGGTGCCGATGGCATTACTATATGTTGCTTTTAAAAGACATTAATATTACATAGAGAATATGTATTATATACCTTGAAAAAATATGTATAAAAGTCTAAGAATATGTAATATATTTGCTTATATAATATTATACACTAACAAAATAATATCAATATTCCTTTGGGTATAGATTAAATTACAAAGGTATTAAATTAAAATATTTGTATGATAACATTTCCAAAATATATTGTAAATAAATATTATATTAGAAATTTAAGTCTACTAAAACATAATACCGTAATTAACAAAATTTAAAAAATGCACGTACAATAGACCGTAATTAAAGTGCAGCACAATTTTTAAAATTAAATACCCCATAGTTACAATCAAAATTTATACCATTTTACTTAATTTATTTCTTTGAAAAATTAATTTACACACTATGTATTTGCTACTAAATGATTTCTTAAAAACGCCTTCCATATTAAAAATTGAATTAGAAAGAAACTTTTTATAAAAGACCATAATTTTAACTAATATCCTTAATGATAACAAGATAGGATTTTTTTAAATATCCTTAACGAAAACAATATAGGATTTGGTTTTGAAAATATCCCAAAGATTAGTTCCTTTTTAATATTAGCAATTTAATTAAATAAAAACGTTCTACCAATTTGGAATTTGTTTTGGGATTGAATACCCAAAAGAAAAAGGTTCGCTCTTAAATAAACATAATAAATATTTATTTACATTTACCTGCTGCTTACATAGTATTTATATAAATTTACGAAACATTGATTTTTTTTTTTATTTATTTTAAACCTTTAAAAATATTTGTCTTAAGATTTTGTTTTTGTTTTTTTTTATAAAATTTTCATTAAGGAAAATTTGCCTCTTTTGAGATTATTAATAATAAAAATTATGAAAATATTTTTAAGTATGAGATCTGATATTTATCTTGAATCGCGTTAGAAAATGGGTAATATACAAAAAAAATACACAGAATGATATATTTCAGCCTTAAATCAGAACAAGATTCCAAATCAGATTTTGAAAGTTTTTTAGAAGAACTATTTAAAATTTCTTTGGAATCACATTAAAATTCTAATTTAATTCTTAAAAATCAATAATTTTTTTCGTAATTAAAAATTTAAACTTTGTCAGATTTGTAATACCATTTAGGGTATTTGTATAAGCTTGAAAAAATTAATAATTTAGAATTAACAAATTGTTACAACTTGTAAAACTTACATATAACTCTGTTAAATTAAGTAACAAACATTATAAATCTGCGTAAATATTTTTAATATTTTAAAGATCTTTGATAATTTAAATTTTATTTAATTTTATTGTTAAAGAAATAATTTAATTGGTTTTCCTTCTTTTTTCTTTATAAAACATAGAAATTATGCAGACCCTTAAATTTTATAATTGGATATCCTTAATATATGTATGTTCTCTTCTTTTTCTTAAAATATAATTAATATAAACAATTTATCGTAACTGAATTTATGATTTTAATTAAGAATCATATGTTATCAAAATAAAATAAATGGAAATAAATGAATCAGATTAATATGAAATATGTTAGAAAACGGGGGATCTATTTCATTTTATACTACTCTGTGTTATATAGATGAAGCAAATACGGCACACTTACTACATCTACTACTGCACTGTACAGGCACCTCTCAAACATTATTCAAGAAAACTAGAACAGAATAAATATGTAGATGATATTATTATATGTAATCTAAAATCCTTTGAATCATTTATAACAGATAAATAATATAATTTCATATTCTTATCAAATTTGGTTTTTACATGTTTTTTTTTTTTATTTCTTTTTTTATTACAAACTATTTTTCATTTTTTAATTATAAAGTCCCAAAACTAAATTTCAAATTATCAATATAACAAATTACATTTTAACTTTTAAAACTATGTTATGTATGTGTGTATGTATATATATATTATAAGTTTATAAATGTGTTTGTGATGAATGTTACATAACTTTTTTTTTATTTAAAAAAAATAATTTAGTGTTATATACTTGTATGTAAATAATATACGTAAATAATAAATTAATCAAAATAAAAAATTAATAGTATTGTATAACATTAATAAAAATAAAATATAAAATTGGCTAATTAATAATATGCCTCACAAAAATAAGAAAAAGATGCTCTAAAAAAAATTAATATTATTTTCAAACTAAATATTATTATTTTTATATTTGTAGGATACTATAATATTATAATATTATGATACCAAACCAATCTAATAGATACTAGAAGTAATAATAAGCAAGAAAAAAATTGTTTCTGAAATTTGTGATAAAAATTTATTTATGTAATTTATTAATACTTGTATATGACACATTTCAATTTGATTATGAAACATAACATGTACATTTAAATTATATAACAATAATAATTAGCACAAAATTATAGAAAAATAAAATATATAAATATATTATATATTAATGAATCAAATTATAGGCATTAGAAATTTTTTTTTTTAATTTTGAATTTATTGTTCGATAGTATGTAAGAACCCATTTTCAAATATGTACTTGTAAATTAAAAAAAAAATGTTTACATTCTACATCTATTTAGAAATCTATATTAAATGTGTGGAGACGGTTGAAATAATCTCGAGAATTTTTTAACAAAATTTTGGCAATTCAATATTCTTAAAGTGAATATTTTGAATAGTATTACGAATAAAATTAACTAAAAGTATTGATTTTTGAGTGGCTAATCTATTAAGAACTTTGAAAGGCAAAAGAATATCTTGTTTATAAATTTTATAATATAACATTCATTTTATAATTTATAATTAACTTACAAATAATCTATGAAATTATAATAATTATAATTTTATAAAAGAAATTCTTGGTTTAAAAATTCACATTAAACAAGAAATTTAGTTTAATTTTTGAATTATTTTTATTTATATATAATAATATGTAATATTTAATTGTGCTTGCAAATTTTATTAAATTTTTATAGAAATTTATTTTTACTATTAGATAATAATTAATATTTACATAGATTGCAGTTTAAAATTTTCAGAATAATATGTGAAAAAAAATTGTGATTTATTTTATTAAAGTTTTCCAATAAGAAATAATTTCTTAATTTAAAATTAAATTTGAATTTTCAAATTAAGGTTTTAAATATTGTTATCAGATAATAAATTATCTAATTCATTTTAATCACAGCATATAATTATATAAATTTAATAATGTAGTTTAAATAATTTTTTGTTTTTAACAAGTTGCAAAATATATATAAGAATTATATAAAATAATAAATGTTCAATACAATTACATAGTATATAATTTTTAACAATAAATATTAAGTACAGAATTTTATTTTAAATATTTTATTTATTTATATTTTAAATTAATTTCTAAAGCAAATGTAAATGCAAAATAAAATTATGTACCATAATTTCAAAATGTTTTTATAATAACTTTTTAAAATTCGAAAAATAAAGTACATAAAAATATTAAAGCATTATAATAATTACTAAAATTGATAATGATATTCATTATAAACTCAGATTTTAATTAAATATTCTAATATATATATTTTTTTGGAGTTTGTATGACAAAATAAAACTCAAGAGTTTTAAATTATTTGACAAAATAAATTAAATATTTATGTATTTATACATAGAATATCGTGAGCATCTCATATTAAATTACATATTTAAATGTAATAAATAACTATATTAAATTTTAATGAAAATAATTCATATAATTTAATATTAATAATATCTTAACTAAATAAATTTTGCTTTAATAAAACATCCTAAAATATGTATTTATTTTGAATTAATTTTATATAAGTTATGCTTATGATTTATTTTTTCTTTTTTTTTTTTTGGTTTTTCTTTTTTTTTCTACACACAGAACATTTTAATCAATTTTAATATATTTTATATAAAATTACAATATAAAATTATGTTGAATATAATTTCAATTTACATTTAAAATTTGATAAAGTTGATCATTAACATATTATACAATATCAATATGTGAATAAAAATTGTTTTTTTTTTTTTTAACAAAATTAATTTATTTAGTACAATTGATTAGGATGTCTTACAATAGCCAATATAGTTAAATGCAATCAGATAAACAAAATAAAAATTATAATATTTAGATTTTTTACACGAGATTTTATAAAATCATTTTGAAAAATATTGATAAGTAAGATTACTAGTCCATTTCCAATATCAATTTTACTAAATAAATACAATTTTGTTCGAATTTAAAAATATCAACTATAATTTTGAATTTAATTTAGAAATATTTTCCAATATATCAACATATTTTAACACAGATTTCTTATCTATCTTCTTATCTAACCAGGAACCCAAGCATTTTTTTTTGTTTTTTAGATAATATAATAAAATTCTAAAAATTCAATAAGTGTAGGTGGTTTTATTAATAGCGCAAATAATAGAACAATTAAATAAAATATTAAATATATTTTAAAGTGTTATAATCAATGAAATTTTGAAAATGATGACATAAAGAAGTATTCAAATAAAAATTTCATGCTCAAATTTCAAAAAATTTTAATCACAAGATTTACAAAATAGATACAAAATAGTTTATTTTCTTTGAATTAGGGATAAATTCATATATCCATTAAATTTTCTAATTTTTCACATATTTCTTAATTTATTAATTAACACAAATATGTAATTAAGTTTTTTTTATATATATATACATAATTTTTTGCAATTTACTATGATTTATAAACAATAATATGAATTTTCTTTTTATTTATTTGTTATATGATACGTAATACATAATCTTTAAATTAATTTTATATTATTATAAAAATTAGTCATTAATAATAATTAATTATTAATATCAATAAATAATTATACAGGATATCATTAGTAATTAAGTCGTTTCTATTTATTAATTAAATTATAAATGACTAATTAGCAAAAATGAAAATAAAAATATCAATCATTGGCATTTATTATTTATAAAATCTTTGTTATCAGTTGTTATTTTTTATTTTTCTTAATTTAATTTTTTAATAACAATGTTTCGTTTTGTATAATATTTCTTTTATAATTTTTTCGGAAGAACAAATTATTTTTTTTTTTGATAATTGTAATTTAATTACCTTCAAAATTTTTTAATATATTTTTAATTTTCATAGATTTTAATTTTAAAAGAAAACAAAGAAATTACATGATTTAATGAAAAATTTTCCCACTAACTCTATTGAAATGCTTTTATTATTTTAAAATCGTTTCATTTGTTTTTTTATAATATAAAGGTGTATAAGTATTAGGAAATTTAATAAAGGGTAAAAAAAAATTCAAGGAACTAAAAGAATGATTCTGATAATTTTTTTCGTTTTTTACAATTTATTTAGTTTTCTATTATTATTTTGGTTTTGTTGTTTTGTAATATGATATAGGCCGGAAAATTTTTTATAGGATTAGATTTAATAATCTACCATGTAAGATTTAGTAATTATGTATAATTATATAATATATAAAATTATTTTTCTTGTGATGAATGATTACATTGTATATCTTTGTTTTTTTTTTTGTATAGTTCTGTAAATATTTTCAGTACAGGTGTGGTAAAAAGGAATAATCACTAAAATTGATTATTGCTGATTTTCATGAGTTTAATTCTACTTATGATTGCAATCGAATTAAATTTGAATTTTTGATTACGTTAGATTTAAGTATTTTTTGTTCATTATTCTAGCTTATTTATTTCAAATTTAAGGATTCTATTCTAGTAATATTCATTTTAAACTATTAGCGAAAATTTCTAGTAGAATAGTCAAAATAAATGATCAGTACGCACAAAATTTTTTCGGACATTTTTCGGACAGATTTGAAAATCGAAAACATTACAGCATATAATTATTTAATTTTTCGATAAAGCCGACTTTAACGATTATTCTTTTTTGCCACAGAATTATCTCTTATGAATACACTTATATTTGTATGTATTTTCAATATATTTTTGTTTTGCTATTTTTTTCTTTTTGTTAATTTCAATTTTACAACATAATTGTTTTTTTATGTTTGCATATTTTTATTCCCTATTGTTTTTAACTTATTTTTTACATTTTGTTTTTTGTATATATATAGGTATTCTATTATTTCTATTAGTTCAAAAAAAAAAAAAAAAACAAAAAAGCACAGCTTCTATTTTTCCGTTTATTGTGTTTTCTTATCAACAGTTTTGGTAGTGATGATATTTGAGGTGGATTTTTCATCGTTGTTAGCATCAGCGGTAGTAGGAGCGACATCATTAGCAATTTTAGAATTTGTTATTCCAACATTATTACTCTTAATGGAATTATTAATTTCGGAGCTGGTACCAACGGTAGAGTTAATACTAGATTTTGTTTTAACTGGTGTATTATTAACGGTGCTGCTAATACTTTGATCGTCAGAGCTACTGATTTCATCCTAAATAGAAAAATAAATTATTAAAATATTAGAAATTATAATTTGCTTTAGTTGGTTTTTACATAATTATTTTTAAATATTACTTACATTATTGCCAAACAAATAAAAAAGCATAATAATATAATTTAATAAATTAATACGGAATGAGATGAAGAAAAATAAAGGATAATTATTAATAGATTATTGAGATAAATAGGATATTGAAGCGAAAAAAATAAGATGGAAAAGGAAAAATAATTACTTTTTATAAGGCAATTTTTTTATATCTTCTTTTAATTAGAATTTATTAAATTTAAGTAATCATGTTTTTAAGAGGGAATATTTTAAAATAATATCTTAAATATATTTTACCTTAATTTGATTCCTTTGTTTCATAGACCATGATACACTCATTAACCGATAACGTTCCTTAACTCTTTCACGAATTTTTTCTCTTAATGTTAATAATGTGGTCGTTGTATTACCAATAAAAAGTAATCCAAATAATAAACTCAATGCTGGAATCTACAAAATATAACAATAATATTAATTATTAAATAAATAAATTTTCATTATAGTTAAAATTTTAATACATAAAAGAAGTTTAATAATTTCATATTAAATTTTTAACTAATTAAAAATTAAATTAAAAAATATAACAACATATTAATTAACCTCTTGTATTCAAAATTTGAATTTATTGACAGAAATTTGACCGATAATAATAATTACAAATTTACATAATAATTACATTTGAGAAAAGAAATAAATGAAATTGATTTGAATTTATATAAAAATAAGCTTATATTTTCCATACATTCCAATTATCATATCACTGACTTCAGATTGACAGATTTTCTTCAAGACTTCATACTTGTAGAAATATACTATATTAGAAAGATTCGTAATATTACAAAGTCTAGAATTTTACATGAGCATGAAAATCAGTAAACTTAAAATTCAATGTAGTTTGTTATTGAGATAAAGGGATATGTGCAGTTAGAGGGTTTTTCGAGCATAGAAAACTTTATACATGCTTAATTTTTGGTTTGTTACACACAGCTGGTTTGACAGTAGCGATATTTAATTTTTACATTTCCACAGCTAATGTAAAAATTAAGCATCATAAGCATTAACAGTAACGTAAATACACAAAAATAAAAAAAGCATAAAATTGACTGTGAATAACAAACAAAAATGTCATTTTTTTGTGTCCGCTTTTCACGAAACTTATATGTCAGGCGTAGCAGTTTTGCACATAATTGCACAATTCAATTATTAAAGTCAGCGATGCATTCTTTTAACATAAATACAAAATATTTCCTCAACACAAAAGATTAATAAATAAATTATCTTACACTTTAATTTAATGAAATTTAAGAATTAGTGCCGTAATTATAGATTAATTGTACTTGAAAAAGTTCAAAGTTGACTTTTTATTTAATTTTTGCAACAATAATTTTTTTTTTATTTAAAATAATTTTAATCTAATCTATATATCTTATCAAAAATTGAATGTTTACATAAACTGATTAAAAAAAAGAAATCTTTAAATGAATTGTGATTTAACATTTTAATTTTATAAAAATGCCCTGAATTTTTTATTCTACTACTTTATAATAAATTTAAAAAATTTTAATTTAACTATAATTTTAAAGTCGATACAAAGTTCACACATTTTGTAAACATATATTTAGTAAATTTGGGGATGTTTCACCAGCTCTAACATTTTGTTTACAAAATCTAACTTTATATTGTTAAAGAAATTAATTAATCGTGCGCATTTACATGCACGAAATATTTGAATGTCTACTGAAGTCCTACTTATTTAAGTACAAAATAAGATTCAATTTACCTGCCAAGTCATTTCCGGATGATATGATAATTTATATAATACATAACTCATGTAAGCTTGGAATGCATAACCAGCAAATAAAAATGGTAATAAAAAGCTTAATCCTCGCCACATCCATGAATGAAATCCCTCAATTGTAATATCCATATTATGACGTTCACCCAATGCTTTTAAACGATATAAAAGTCCTTTTTGATATCGAAATTGTAAATATTGTACCATACCTAAAAAATAAAGAAAAACAAACAAAAATAATATTAAAATCGTATAATATAAGCAACTATAATAATTAGATTTTAAATTTTATGATTGAATCTTTTGATTGCTCGGCACATATGAAATAAAGTAGTGAAAATCTACGTATATTTTAATATTAATGCCCCCATAAATTATATATAAGCCCCTAGAAATTTAACTAAAATGAATAAATAACGAAAAAATTGTACATTTATAGCCATCATACATAATAATATTATAGGAGCATATACGATCCCAAAACAAAAGCACAAATACGTATCGTATCATTTAGTGCAACATTAATATAACTCAAAAAACCATTTCTGAGTTATTTGTACAGAATTATACAAAATATATTAAGTATATTTCATTATAGTCATTATCTATTTAAAAATAATTATAAAACTTACTTATATAAGCATTGAAATACATGAATTGATGCCGAAATAATTGCCATGTTTCACCTTGTGGCCATATTAATAATACACCAGAACAAACTGTTGATATAAAATGATGTGCTCTCCACCAGCCTTTTATTCTTGAACCATTCACTTTTAATATACTTTCACGTATTGTTAAAGTACAATAATACCAAACTAATAAAAATATAAATGCTAATTCCAGTGCTCTACAAATGAAAAGGATAGACTTTACAAATTCAAAAACATAATTTTTATTATTTAAAAATCTTTACCTGTAATTTAACCATAAATTTAAAAATGCCATCACTAATCCTATTACATTGAGTACTAATTTAAATTTTTCATAATCATCTTTATATCGGACTTTATCATTTCTATTTAGAATTGAAACGTTTACATCTCCTAAAATAATCTGCAAAAAAAAAGGAATAAAATATAAGTAAAATTTTTTAGAAAGATATTGGAAAATTTGAAGAAAACAAAATTTTTATAAAAATAAAAAATTTCCAATATAATATAAGCAATATTACAGCTATTCTGCAGAGTATCGAATCGCTAAGTAATAGTCATATCGTAAAATTTCAAAAATTATATTATAGACACGAATCATTTGTATGAATTGGTTTGCGTTTACAATAATAATATCGAACTTTGTACGATAGGTATTACTATCACTTAGTGATTCGATACTCGCAATAAGCCCCCCGTCATTGAAAATCCAAATGAAATAACACTTACTTGTAAATAAAATCCTGATTTTCTTGGCAGAGACTGTTCTATTTCATGCAATTGAGCTTTTCTTTTAATAACATTTTTTTCCAATTCTGCTATAGTTTCTGCATCTTTGGAATTCTTTTCTATTTTAACTCTGGAAAAAATTATTTTAGTTTTTTCTTTAAATCTCCTAAATAATTTTAATTCAATTTAATCCAATTTTAAATAATATCGCATATCTATAAAATAATATTGATGTCTTGATATTGAATTGAATTGTATTGTAATTTACATACTTAATTGTAACGTATATATAATATAAAAATCTTATAATATTTATGTATATTGTTATATACACCATTATATACTCGTATATTATAATTTTGCAATAAGCATTTTCATATTTTTCTTCAATTATAATTTAAAAATAATTTTCTTCTTTTTTTTTCCAATAAATTGCAAAATCAAATCAATATAATTTCATTAAGTTTGAAGGTTAAAAAATATCGAGTGCATCAACTATATTAGAATACAAAAATGGATAAATAAAATTAGAATGATCCAATTTTAAAAAATTTGCAATTTTTTCGAGTAATGAATAAATTTTATAAATTTAATGAATGAGATCCTACACAAACAATAAAATAATTTAATAAAAATTAAATTAAATCTTGATTTTAATAACGGCAGTATAACAACATATAAATTGAAGAATCTGCAAAAATAGCATGTTCGAAAATGCTAGATGTTATGCTTAAAATTTTAAAGGCGTTTTCAAGTTCTTTTTACAGATACTGCAAAAATATTATAAATTGGAAGAGGAGGATAATAGAAAAATGTTTGGATATTGTGGGAGTAAAATATTCAGTTTCTGCAATTTTTTTCGAAATTCTCGTTCTGCGTCAGAACTTCTGCAGAATTACAACTCAAAACAGGCAAGGTAACAAAAGGTTTGTAATAAGGTAGCAAAAACGAGTTGCGACTCCTAACAGGAAGCATGAACTCAACCATACTTACTTAATTTTGTTAAATCTTAAATATTATGTTGCAAAATTATAATTTTAATATTGATGGCAAGACTAATCCCCTTACAATAATTATTTACATTTATCAACAATTAAAATCAATATGTATGTACTCGTATAACGTAATATTGTAAAAATAAATTTTATATACACATATACACGCTTTGCTTTACTTTTTTAAAAATAACTTTAAAAAAACCCTTTTTTTGTATAGTAGCAAAATTTATAAAAGGGTTGTTATTATTAAAAACAAGTGTCTATCTGCATGCATTTTCATAACGTGTAATATAGCAGATAAGTGTTTACCAATCTTATATCCACAATATTGTTTGTAACAATGAAAAATAAAAATAAAGACAGTAGATTTTAAACTATACTCTTTTTTATGTAATTCTAGAATAAAATAAAAATGCCAGTCTGTCAATGATTTTACTTTTTGTCGATAATAGTCGAAATTAGTTAGGCACTTTCCCAAAATGTCGATGTTTGACGATTTGTAAATGAAAATAGTTGAAGTGATTGACTTACAGCACTCATTTTTTAAAAATTATTCGCACAGAATTAAAAAGCACAAATCAAAAATATAAAATTACTTCTGGCAGCCATTAGAACCGAACAATATTGTCAAACAGAATTGAAATTCATAACTTTGCAAATTATTTCCAAATTACGTTCTAAAAAAAAACCTTATACATATATGAAATACTTATAAAATTTATTTTTTTGAATTCGCAATTCTTATTCTCAAAACAAAATGCTTCTCCTTTCATAATTATTGATTTTTAAAAAGAAAACAACTTCCGCCTGTTAAAACAATTGAAAAGTGTTTCAGTGTAAATTTAATTATCTTGAAATTTAACCACCATTATTTCCTGTTTTTCTTAGTTTTATTTTATTTACAAGTCTCCCATTCTCCCTTATATTTTTTTACACCTATTCTTATTGAAATTCAATATCAAAATGCATAAGGTTATTATTATATACATAGGTTCAATAGCTTTTTAAATCAATTACCTTATATTATCAATTACAATTTTTAAAAGAACGCAAACTATTTTAGTTTTGATGGAATTGTAATTTATAGCAATTTTTTACAAAAATTCCAAACCAGAAACTGAAATTTTGGGTATTTATTTTTAAAAATGCGGTACTTAAAAGTAAGACTGCAGAGCTCTGAAAAGTTAATTAATTTCTACATAAAGCTTTAGAAAGTTTGCACTTTTAATCTTAAAAACTGTATTTTTAACAATAACCTTTATTACAGGCCTCATTTGCTTTTTCGATCATATCAAAGTCTGTAATAGCCATCAATGTGAAGTCGAATTAAAAATTTAAAATCCGTTTTCTCTACGAAGAATCAGTTTTATATTTTTAAAGATGTTTTTGCTGACCAATGCCGAAATTTAAAATAAATTCGAATGAAACTGTCGATTATGTGCTGCGCATATCAACATCAGATTTTCTTCAACATCAGACGTTTTTTTAATATATTCTTAACGTTCACACTTGTGCATTCTTCTTTATATGAATTATGAATTAGAATATATGTACATATATGAAATGTACTTGTTAAAATCAAAAAAGAAAAAATCAAAATTTTTAAATTATAGAATTTTTTCAGCACGTGTAGAAAATCAAAAAACCAGAGTTGCCGCGTAGTTTCGTATTTGTTGATGACAGTATCAAATTTAACAAATACAAATTTAACAAATAAGAAAATCAATTGCAAAAATCATTTTTAATTTATAAAATGCTTTTACTTGTATTATATTTTGTTAAAAAAATTATTTATTACTGCTTCAACAGAAAATATGAAAGCACTTCTGATATCTGTCAACAATTTGAAAATCGTCAAAAAATAACTTTTCACAATAATTTTGACATATCAATCATGATTTCAACAGCAAAATTTTTAAAAACTATAATTAATAATTAAATGTTGGAAAATAAAAAAAGGTCGGTAATTATGGAAGCACTTATAAACAATAAAAAATTTATAATTAAGTTTGTAATTACTGTAGGTTAAAGTGAAAAAGTTTCATACATTATGCAAGCAGATCAAATGTCAAAATTCTAATAAAATTAAAAGTAATTAATAAAAATTTTATTGCCACTTAAAATTAACATTACAGTAACAACAGTAAAATAAGATAGTGATATAAAAACAAAGATTCTCTTATGTTTATAAATTCTCATTTAGTTTAAAGTTATCATTTTAAATAGATGGCGAATGCTTAAGCTTATTTGCTGCAATAATTAAAGTATATATAGAATATAATATTCTTGGTTAATGGTAAATAGTCTCAGTAAATAAATTATAATTTTCAAATAATGTTAATTAGGTAATCACTATAGCTTTATACTAATTATTAAATATTACAAACTCGTTTATTAATGCAGACCTACATTTAACGCTAAATATTTAATTCTCAATTTCGATATTACTCATGTAGCTCCGGAATAATAACTCTGTACTAAAACCGTAATTATTTATCTTCAAATGAATAATTTCAAACACTATCACAAATTAAAAAATAACCTTAAAACTTAAATGAGTGTATATGCAATAATGCATATTATTTTTTGTAGTATAGTAACCTTAAACCAAAATAAAATTTTTAATGTTGATAGTGAAATTTATTTTAAAATTGCTTGTTAAATTTTTATCCGCGTTACGTCATTTTAATTATTTTCTTTATAAATTATGAGATTACCTAAAAAAAAAGCTTTGTTTCATATAGAAAATAATTTATTTTCATTGTTATCCGATCCATATATAAATATAATAGGAAACAATTTGAATTTATTTTAACTATTTTTTTTAATTTGAAATTAGGTCAATTTTAGCGAAAAATATGTAAGTAATATGATGATTTTAATATGATTAATAAAGGTTAATTTTTATTTTGTCTTATAGCCAAATCTCTTAAAAACAAAGGAACATGAATAATTATAACTTATATTAAATGTTAAATCAATAACCTGTAAAATTTTCTGTTAACAATAAAAATTTTCTGTTTTTCTCAAAAATAGCATTTTTTTTATTTTCAAAAATTTAAGTTCACTTCATTTATCAGATGAATTCTAAATGAGCTTTCAAGCTGACATATTAAAAATGGAGCTTGAGTCTCGAGCTGATTTCAAGTGTAATAATCAAGCCACATCTGAACAAGATAAATTAAGAAATGTAGTGCTTTATATAGCGCAACCTTCTACCATCATTGTACCTTCATCTCATCTTAATCCAAAAATTATACGCCGAATCCTTATATGTATGTTATATTGGCATATTTTTTGATTTGGCTCAATAACAATAATTTAGAGATATTTAATTCGTTATGGTCTGATGAAATTTTTGAGGGTTATAAATTCAAATACTTATGTATAGATTATATCACTTTTCATATTATTATACACAGATCATGTAACTATGTACCCAACTTAAATATTTATAAATTAAAATTTCTATTAATATTGACCTTAAAATATTATTTAAAAAATTATATTTATGTTTAAATACTAAAAACAAAAAATTTTAAAAAATAAATCTAAAAATAAAAAATAACTTATTTGTACTTAAATATAAAATTTAAAATATTGTCACGTTTTTTTCACATTTCGCATTCCTACGATAACACTGCCACAATTAAAATATGAAGAAACCATATTATTCTTATTTTGTTAAAAGAAACATTTTCGTGTTTTAGAAAACCATGTAGAAATTTTGAGCTTAATTCACCATATTCCGCCAAATTTATATGAGTAATAAATTTCATATAAAATTGAGCGAACTGTTTAACAACCTCCTTAAACAATTGTTAAAATTATCACTTACACGTTTTTTTTTTAATATTTCCTATTCCTATTTTGATAATGTTATATAAGCGATAGCGATAGTGTCAAACTAATTTATATTTTAAAATATTTTAAAACGAGACAGTTAAATTTGTGTTCTATACTGTGATATTCGCAAAAATAAATGTTCTATATGTTAATTGCCACACTGTTTTTTACGTACTCAACAGGTTTTATCAAACATAATGGCCATTTTAGCATATTAATTTTTACAAAATTTCATTACTATAAGGTAGCTACCCGAACCACTGCTTCGATGACATCCAATTTAAATAGGGTTAAGATATTTATTATTGTAATTCATTCGTGAAAATTTGTTGAAGTTAGTCAGACGAGTTGCTTATGTCAAGCAGCCTAACACTTTAAAACCGAAATCTAAGTTGTACTTATTAATTCCATAATTACGGTTAGGTAAATTTGTATCCCAATAATATGAACCGATAAAATTTTCAAAACGAATTACTTTGATTCACATAATTCAAAATATTGTCTCTATTCATGAAAAATCAATACCGTATAATACACAAGATGGTTATCGTATAGCGTGTATCGTACTTTTTCATAATTTTTTTTTTTTTTCCTTCTTCACTCCTAGGAGGAATATAGGGCTAGTGCATGATATCTATCATGCCCTAGTTTCTATAGTCATAGAGAGTTAGCTAGGTAGGTGACTAGCCTACCGTAGTTTTTATTTATGTTAAATATTTCAGTTTCTTAATATTTACTGTTTATTTTTCTTAGTCTTTAGTATCGAATATTATGAATATTTGAAAGTTACTTGTATAATATTTATTAGTATTGCATATTAAGTTATATAATATTGAATATAATTTTTTATAGTGACCTAACCGGGGTTTGAACCCGAGACCCTTCGGTTAAAGGGCCGGTGCCATAACCACTGCACCCATGGTCAGCTTACTTTTTCATAATAAAGCATATTATTTTGTGTAAGTTAAATATGAAAAACTCAGACATTGAATCGAAAATTAAGTATGTTAAAATCAAAAATGCTTTAAATAAATTACAATTAATCATACATATTTGCCATAATGTAAATATTACATTTAATGAAATTTTCTAAAATATTTATTATGTCAGTTAGCATAAACACCTACAAATTTTAGTGTTGGCGCGTTAAGCAATCAAAATATGATAATAATGTACCAATATACGAATATAAATAATTTTCTATGCTGTAATAGCTGAAGAGTACTTAAAATTTAAATATTTTTATATATTAGTTGGAATCATTTCAAAAATAATATATTTAAAATTTCAATCAAAAAATAAATGAGTTTAAATAAATTGCATTTATTGCATTTTCTTAAGCATATTATTTCATAATTTTTTATAATTAAATGGAACAGATGAATTTTCGTTCCCGAAAAAATTTAATTTAACAATATTTAATTAAAAGCATAAATTTAAAATATGATCTTTAATTTTGATCATGTAAAGTATAGGATGATTTTTTAAGATTTTCTAATAGAAAATAAAATAATTTAAGAAGTTTATGGAACTACAAAATAGGTACCATAACACAGCCAGAAAGAATCTTATATTTTGATTGTATGATTGTAGCATTTCCATACAGCAAAAGCAAAAATAACTATTTTAGGTTAGTCAGTAAAAAAAACACAAAGTTCTTATCACGTTCCGAATTGCATCTTAAAAAAATTTTACAATGTTATGCGCATTCCGAATTTTATAAAATTCGTTTTCGAACCGCAGAGAAAAGCGAATCAAAACATTCTGGATAATTTTTTTAAACTTTTGACAATAAGTATTACCAGTATGCGACAGCTAATATTTTAATTGGTAGCACTAATTTTTTACTTTTTGCATTGACTTTGATGTACAAAGTAATATACTGGAAATTTTAAGAAAAATGGTTATAAAATTAAGATGTTATTTAAAATATCAATTTAAAGAGCCAAAATATCAAAACTTCTATTCCAGAATGTAAGATAAAATCTTGTTTTTGTTTGGCAACACAGTGTCATTGTATTTTGTTTTGGATTCAAATACGGTTTACAGGCTGTTTTCAAAACTTTGTTTTTGACAACACGGAATCCTATCTTACTGCGGAAATTTTTCAAAATAAATTTGTGTTTAAGTGGACAATATCCTCTAAAGAATTAAAAATAATGCAAATTTAACATGAAATCTTTGAACGTGTTTCGGATCAGTGTAAATAAGTACACTCGAACGTGTTTAATTGCACATTTATAATACACCTTGCAATTTATTATATGCAATTTTATTTTCATTGAAGGCATACAATCGCATTATTTACGTATCATATACTGAAAACAAAACCAACTTCTATAAATAAACAAAATACTACATAAGCGTAGTATTATAAATTACAACATGTTTTTAAATAGACCTATACACACACATACATATATTGCTATTTAATATTTAAAAAAAATTTATTCAATAATAATTTTGAAATTTTGATTTCTAAACCGTGGAATTAATAATAATCGTAATCAAAAACTTAATGATAGCATGCAATCTAATCAAATAACCTTCAAAATATTTTTTTTTTGTTATTAAGTAAAGGAATGAACTTAGAAACAATATTTAACTTTGTTGAAATATTTAAAAAAAAAATTGGGTAAGTATGTTTAAATTTTTATGATTATTTTTTATTTTTAATCAAAAAAATAAAGTAGTTAGGTAATTTTGTTTTGATATTATTGCGGTATATTGAATATGATCAGATCATCAATCTAGGTACATACAATATACACACACAAATGGTAATGTCATTTATATTCATCTTGCTAAAAAGTATAACCATACATTTAAATGGCAACAAGTTGCTTCGGATTAAAATAGCCTAATATTATTATGAATTTTTATTAAACAAAACGAATATAAGTTAAAGCTACCCCGACCCCGAATAAAAATTTCAATGTCAAACTTATGAATACAAACAACAACGAAAAAAGCAATATTATTCTTTTTTCGTTAAATTCATAAAAACTTCCAACACTTATGGATATATCTACATGCATATATTTTAAATTTAAACATATACAATGTATACGAATGTACACAAACACCTAATACTTTGTTTAACTATAAAACAATTTATAATACTTAAATGTATTCACATATGTGTTGTTAAAATGTTACGGTAAAAGCAAATAATCCATGATATCCATTTTGCAAATTAAATTGGAAAGTTTTCAGTTTTTCATTGAAAATTTTGTGTTTCAACAGCTATTAATTGAAAACGGTTAGTCTGACACCAATCAACGGCATACTGTTATGTAGGTCTATCAATTAATATAAATTTCTGAACGCAAATTTGCCCTAATTTCAAAAGCTTTAAAGCTATAACGAACATTCTTCGAACAAAATCTTTTCAGCCTCATTTTTTTAATTCTCCAAAATTACCACTAGACGTTTGAGTTCTTCCCTCCTCACCTATCCAATTTTTTTCTAAAAAATTTCAACGAATCACCGCATGAGGGCTTTAAAACTTGCCTCGGACCACTCTATGTAAGTAAATTTACTCTATTCTACAGAACAATAACAATTTTATTTTCAAAATTTTTTTGAAACAGATCAATAAATATATAGGTACTATTTTTAAACAACATAGCTCCAACATTGTCACCTGAATTTACATATTACTATAACAATTCGCACATTTACCGTAAAAAAAATAATACTTAATATTTTGTATATAAATAGCTGATCAAATTTATATAAAAAAAAAACGAGTAAGTATTTAATAAAAAAATATATTAAAATGAACTCTTTATGTTTATAAACATTGAAAAATAAATAAAATATTTTTATTTAAATTGAAAATTTTGCCAACGTCAGTGTTTATAGTTTGTAGGCATTTCGATAAACCTCAGTATGAACCGTCTATATATACTCGTACTTATATCATTTAATTAAAATATGGAACATTAAAACAAAAAAAAATAAATTGACCATCTATAATTGAAACCCAATTTGTGATACTCACAAGGTACTTATTATTATGGTATTGGTATTAAATAGTGTATTGACTATAACAAATTAATCATAATTAGAGATAATTAATTAATTAATTAATTTATTTGTAGAATCATACCGCATCAATTTGATATTGTCTCGGTATATTTTCCTACCAATTATCAATTTTCGTGTTAATTTACAAAAAGAAATTCATTGATTAAAAAATGAGAAATTCTCATATAACTTGCAACTAAATAGATATACGTTATATGTATCGATGTAATTAACATAATTTCCCAATATATAAACATTTATTATAATTTAACACTTAGTAAAATATTGTTAAAAAAAATTAAAGATTTCGTACCCACTTGAGGTAAAAGAAATTTGCAAATTCAAATTTTCCTTGACGAGTATGTACCTACTTACTTCTCTACTTCGACAATTTCTTGATTTATAATTCAAATTAAAATTATATAATTTAGTTTTCTAAATCCTTTAATGGCCAAGATTACAATACATTGTATTGAAACAAACTTATCTTGCTCATAAGAAAAAAAAACATGAAAAAGGAAATACTTTGCATGTATGTGCTTAAGTAAGACATTAAAGCTTGTTTAGTTTGAATAAATAGATATAGGGTAGGTAGGTAATACCTATATAATTTAACTTTAATCTAACCAGATTTAAATATCACAGGTTTCTATAACTTCTTTAAAAAATTTCCTGTACAATATAATATGAAAATTGAATTTATCAAGTAAAATAACTTAGTACCTCACTTATTTTGCAACAGTGTATTCTTGATGAAATAAACAAGTACATATATGGTAAACTTAACGAGTATCTACATAAACAGGTACCGGCCCACCTAGTATTGTATAGTAAGAAATGAATGAAAAAAGAATAATTGTTTCTCTATCTGTTGAAAATTTTTTTTTTTAATGAGATACATACAAAACTTGTACAGAGAATGCGTAAAAAAATCGTATGATTCCGCTGATATGCAAAATTTTAGTTTACAACTTACAAATTGTAAACATTAATAATTTTGTGTTTTGTTTTTACATTTTTCTATTTTTTGATTTTATAATTATTAATTTTAATCATATAAGAATGTAGATATTTTCTTTTTTATGTTAAGGAATAAAAATTCCAATTGCATACTTACTTAGCTAATTGTGAAGTAATTTGCCCTAATCGATATCTTTGGTGTTTAATTTCATTGAAACATTTTTGTTGTTGGCTATATAATCCTTCTAAAAGCTCAACATATTTTTGATTAGCAACCTGAAAATTTTAAAAATTAAAATAAGTAGACAGTAGATATCAATTTAATTTAAAATTTTTGAAATTTTGGTAGTTTTATGCATGTAATTTGGTTATTTGGTTAGGTATACCTACACAAGTGGTAACAATTTGAGCAATGTGTATGTACATATAATATGTATACTTTTTTTGCGGGAATATTTTTTATTTGAATTAAAATTATTTCTAATTAGAAAAGAACAGTTATTAGTGAAGTTAAGTAATAATTTTATCAATGTATTTCGATGTACAAAAGAATACTTAAATGTACATACATATTTAAATGACTCAGCTAACCCATGCATATTTAAAAAATGCCGGTATATATACCTACCTCTAATTCTTTATATTCACTATTGAGCTCATCAACTTCTTTAGACAGTGCTGATATATCAACAGCCATTTTTAAATTTTCCACCTTTATAATATTAAATTCATAAACTATGTTATTTTAAATTGATTAACAAGAAAATAATATTCATAGATTTTGTCTTTTCAAATTATTATAATAATACTATTATGAATGTTACAATCTGAACACTAGATTTACAGTAAAAAATGTTCTTGATCAAACAATATACACAAACCAATGAGGCTTTTACTTATAACAATTATTCTTAATTTCTTCAATTTTATATTTTAAATCATACGATTATCAAACACGATATTTTCATTTTAATGTAATAAATAAAATGCTCACAAAATATTACATAAAAATTTATTTTTATATCATTTGTTTTTTTTTTTTTTGTATATAAAATTGCGTTTTTAATAATATACAATAAAAATTTTACTTTCGAACAACAACGCGTCACCTAATTTTTTTAATGCGTTTCTGAATAGAAATATAAAAAAATGAGTAGTAAATTCTGTATAAGAGTCAAAACAACAAAAAGAAAAAAAAAATTGCAGAGAATACAGAAAATATAGAAACGTCAAAAATAAAATAACCTTTTGTCAAATGCATATGACATTTATATTGTTGTGTTTTTGTTTTTGAATTTTTCTTTCGATATAATTTTAACGAAAGCGCATGATCTGAAATGGCTGTACAAAATGGGTATATACCACTTTAAATTTTCTGTTATGTACAAATTTATTTTGATTATTATGTTGTGACACACGACTGTAAGAATTTCTTTATGTTTCAAATTTCTAAGATTACCAACTTATATTTATTAGGTATATGAATTTTTCTGTCATATTTTGTGAGGTCGAAAGATATTTGAAAAGTGAAGTTTGATAAGACTGTCCTTAAACATTTTCACAGATTGTCGAAACTTTGAAAATGAAAATTTGTGGAAACTTATCAATACTTTCAGAATTGATAACTTGTTTTTGACATTTTTTGGGAATTTTGAAGGTTCTGACTTCCCAATAACTTAAATTTACTTTTTATAATATTGGCAAAAATCGTTAATATTTTAATAAATCAATAAAATTTTTATCTTCAAGAGTCAGATTTTCATTATTTTTTAATTAAAATATGAAAAACCAACCAGAATGTTATAACAGTGCTAATTTTGTAAATGTCAAATATTTAAATGAGTTGACATAGCTAATTGACAAAAAAAAATTTTAAAGTATTGCCATTGTTTAAAATTCAATTGTACAAATATTTTTGTTACTTTAAATTTAAAAATAAAAAATTTCAAATTAATGAAAATATTTTCGAATTGGAAATTTATTTTTGGTTTTCTTTTCTGTTGTTGAAACATTTTTGGAAAAAATTCATAGACATTCAAGGTTGGCACTGAAGATGCAACCCGTGAAGAAAAATTATAAATCCTCACAGTAAGAATTAGAAACCAACATAACGGAGTCAGTAATATTGAAAAACGAACAGATATTAAATATTATAAAAATGTTCCACATCCTAACTTCGAACTCACGAAAGTGACCCCACCTGAGTTTTGGTAAGTAAACTGCTTCATAATTAATATAAAACTGGAAATTAAATAGGAAGCTGGAATAAGATTTAATCATTATCCAATCTATTTAAAAAATTAGAAATAACACAATTTTATTTTTACAAAACAATAGATTATCTAATTTATCCCAAAAATACAAACTGCTTCCTATGTTTCTTACTCATTAATAAAATACCTATTATTCTACAATTTATTTCTGAAGGAATTTATCTTTTTCATTTAAAGTTCCAATTTACTGCTTATAGATACATATGGATATGCATACTGATCGTGAATAATTCAGATCACTATGTTGGGTCTTAGAAACCGTCGCTCACTTCATCACTTTTTCAAGAAGTTGGGCTTGCAGATTCACAGATTCTAAAAATCAACTTTGGAAAAATTAAAATTTGTATTTATTTTATTTCTACGGATATAGAAACAGTTTTCAAAAATTTGAAATTTATTTAAAATTTAAAGTGTCAGCATTATTTTCTTTGCTTATTTCTATGCTCTGATACGTTAGGACCAAAAAAAGCAGAGCGTTTTGTAGAAGATATTTAATTAAATAAAATTAAAAAATAGTCACGCGTGATGATAAATAACACTTCGGATATTAAAAAGTTTGAATATAATGCTTTGGTTATGCCCTGATTTGTTTCGAAACTTATGATAATTGATGTCAAAGGATAAAACAATTTTCTTTGTCATCATATATTTTTTCACTTAACTGTTTGATTTTTTCATTTTAAATTTATTAAGAATATCAATCAAAATTTTTTCAATCTTCTACAGGTTGTTAAGGAATGGCAATTTTTTTTTTATTTTTGATATTGAAATGCAAAATATTTATGTAAAATCTTTAATATTTTAAAATTCAATTCCAGAAACAAAAGGAAAAAAGTTTTTAACTTTTCCCTTTTATTAAATTTATGGTAATTTTTTTAAACCATTCAGTTTTGTAACTGAAAATTCTTTTTATTAAAAATTGTTCATAGAAAAAAAAGCAAATCAACAATTTTTAAGGTTTAGATTGCATTTTAACTGTAAGTTTTTCAAATTTTTCAATAAGATTTTCCAATTTTTCTTATATAAAATAAAAAATAAAAATTAAATTTAATATTTAGCGTTTGAATTGAATAATTGAGTTAAAGACACTAACAGTCTAAACAGTTTTAGTGATGACTTAAGAAGATATTAAGAAATACAAAGAATGATCCTAACTAGTCACTCATCAGTAGACATATGTATATTTCAAAAAATTTTCTTTATCCTTCAGGTTTAGCACCTTATCTTACACGTTGTCACTATCGGAGTAACAAATTTTATAATACCTTTTCAAATATACATAGATCATTTGAATGTACAATCAGTGATTTTTAGCGTTTATCCTGAAGGAACAAAATTCTGTTTATGCATCTGGTTATTTTTCAATCAATAAAAGAATTCCTTATAAGGATATGAAAAATTTTTATAAAATTTATGAAAATAAAAGTTTTAAAAGTTGCACGACTTTCTTTTAGGAGGATATTCAAATTTAAATTAACTTTTTAATTTCTTAATAAAACACATAATTTTAAATAAGAATTTCAATTAAATGGCTACTTCTTCTAATTGAATTACATAGCCTTAATTCTTTTATTAAGATCACTTTTGCATTAATTTGAATCAACAGTTCCTTTTACGAAACAATTTTTCGATTATCTTATTTATCTTTTAAAATGTTAATTATTTCTGTTACTATATTTTTGCTAACTTTTTTCAGACCCTTCAATCTTTCAAATTTTGGAACCTGAAGCATGGCCGATTTTCATAAAAATTTCTAGACACAATTTGTTGAGTATTTCATTACAAGAGAGAGAAACACAAACAGGTTAATAATTTATAAATTTTAGATTGTAATCGAATTATTAAAAATTTAATTATGTGCAAATATTTTAGGGAAACACTGTAAAATACATACAGTTTTTAAATTTGTTTTCTTCTTTATATCATAAAATGTTTACACTATAAATACTTGTTGATTTTTCGTTAATTTGAAATACCCTGGATGATTACAAGGAATTCATATTTAGCGTCTTATACATAAGTTTGTATATATGTAATATATCATTTTGTTTCTGTATCATTTTTAAAAGAAAAGTATATCGCTAAGTATATATGATTATATATGTGCTTTTGTAATAATATTGATTAAAATTAAATTGATTGATGATAATAAGAAAAAGATAAGGGAAATTTTATTTGGGCTAGTTTGTTTAGGATTTCATCTTATATATTCGAATATAATCTTAATTAAATCAAATTTAGTGAAACGTTTAATAAAATCCTTAATTAATTATACATATATATATGGGATTCATTTAATGAAAAATTCATGAAAATTATTCCGAATTACCAAACATTTCATTGTTGTTTAAGATTAAATACTTGCAGTTTTAATTACAGATAAAACTCATGTTGCAGATGTTTCAAGGATTAATTACATCAAATTTTAATTTTTAATTTCAGCTCACATCTTACTTTAATATTTGTGCGTGCTTTTACATATGCCATTTGTTGTTTTACTTTGGAAAATCCAATCATTTTATTCAATAAGTTTTTCAATAACAACATTCAACTTTATAACTAAAATAAATAACGATTGAAGATGCATTTACAGAAAGAAATAAAGAAAAAAAAAACCATTTTTGGTCACTTAACGAAATTTTTGGGTAGCCTATAGCAGTAGGGTAAGTTTTTTTCAAATATTTAATTTACTTATAAAGGACTAATAATTTTTAATAGCCCCATTTTAATCGAATTCTTCATAGGTAACTTTTGTCAGACGACTTTCACTAGAAGCCTTTTATACTGTTGCATTATGAATTTTATTAATATAGTTATTTCTGAGAGTTTTCTTCTTAAGCAAGCGATGTAAAAAAGACTTTGTTGAAATCATGTTCTATAAAATCTAGTCTTTTGCCAGAAGTTATTATACATTTTTATCTTGAAGCTATTAATGTAGTATATTTAAATTGTGCAATGATCAAATTTAATCAAATTTTTAAAAAACTTTAGAAAAAGAATTGTGTTATGTTTTAATCTCCAAAAAAATTTAATTTATTTTTCATTATTATGAAAAAAACATTACACTAAAAAAATATGTATTTAAATTAAACAGAAAATAACATAAATAACAGCTTATTATATGTAGGTAATTGCATAAAAATTTAAATAAGGAAAATTTGCATATTGAAATTAAAAAAAAATACCATGCTTGAATAAAGTAAAAACCTAACCAAAGGATAAGAAAACTCTGCAAGAAAAAATTTTGATAAAAAAAATTAATTTCATATTGTAATAACGATAATTTTGTTGGAGGAAATTACTAATTTCTCATTTTGTTTCCATATTCACCAGGATGTATCAGAAAATTTTAGACGGTATGTGGAAGTACACAAAACGAAATTTGTAGAATGAAAGTAAAAATTTGAGAATAAAAATTGCATCTTATTAGTAGTTTGTTTAATGAAGGAATTAATTCTGCGTTCATGGCATCTTACCCAAATATTAACAATCCTAGCATAATTTTGAATATTAGATCTCATCTAACTTGGGAGATATGCGATAGATTTATGAGACTAATAAAAATTTTTATGTAAACAGTACATAATAATCGATCGACCTATTGTATATTTTCAATTATTATCATTCTTATTTTAAATCTCAGGAACTTTGTAAGAAACTAGTCTTCACAAACTTAATATAATATATAGGTTCTAGATAGTTTTAATTAATTGATTAAGTTTGTAGCAATTTCGATGAATCAAACCAATTATAACAAAATTTAAGATACAAAATTGTGAAAATTAGTTTAATAGAAAATGATGTACAGAAGTGTCCGAACA